TTCAAAACTAACACAGCGAATAGAAATAGAGTAGACAGTAGCAGAACTATCAACGGCAAAATTTGAGAGTTAAGTGTAAATTTCAAAATCAATCCTGGCAACCGTGTAAAACGATTGGGCGCCTTGCTTGCGAGCCCAGCCACCATTCTCAAATTTTCCCTCTTGCTGCATTTCGAGCATTTGTTCGCTTGTAAATGGACCAAAAATCTCTGCACCATCTTCATTTGAGAGTTTATATTCCCAAAAGACAACATCGCTTGATGACTTTCCAGCAGCCTTCTCCTCTTCCACCTGCCCAGTATTTTCAGCTGCAAAATTCATCAAAAGCTGAGTTTCAGTAATTGCTAAAACTGTTTTCCCGCAATCTAATCATGGGCATACTGGCTGTCTGCATTACTTTTGCTTTCAGTAAGTTGATTTTCAAGCCCACTTCCTTACCTTGTGCGAGTTTCTGCAACATTTCATTCACCTCATAAGTGCTGCGAATAAAAAGAATTGTAAGCGAGGTAAATGCAAAACTTTTGCCGCAAAATAAGTATCATCAGAAAATCCAAAAACTATGTAGAATGAGAGAAATCTGCCTTATTATATACAATAAATAATAAACTGAGAAAAGATTAATTTTTATCTTTACTTTTACCTTTACTAGTTTCAATAACGCAACTATTTATATTAAACTCAAACTCACATTAAATACTACAATCGTTGTACTGATGCGAGGTCCAATTGTGGTAATGGTAAGAAATGTATACGACTTAACAGACCGAAACAATTCCCAACATTATGATATATTTTACAATATTTTGCAGGTTTTATTAATTCCTTAGTACTATTTGCCTTTTCTTCTTTCAACATTAAAACATTTTTTATTACCTTTCTGGATAACAGGTGCTGCATCCGAAAACATATCCAACACATCCACAGCCTTACTTTGCAGTTCTTTGATTAGGAACAGAAGCTTTTCAAGCGTATACTGATAAGCCTCCAGTTCGCCATTTGAAACCAACGAATCAGCCAAACCCGTCAGCTCCTTCATTGCAGCCGCTCCCTCATCAACGTATTCTCTGCCGGCCTTTTTTGCTGCCCATCTTCTCTTCCGTTCTTCCGCAGCACTTAATCCTAAAAAGCCGAAAAATTGTCCCAAAAAGCCAGAAGATAGCATTCAAAAAGCGATTTTATCCACTTAATGACCTCATTCGTGCCTCATTCGATGAGGAGAATTAAGCTTGGAGGAAATATTTGCGGCAAAAGCGTTGATAATTTTTCACTATAACGCATATGAAGAAAGTGATAGCTAATGAAATACCAAGAATACCAAGACCACCTGGGCAACGGATGCAGTAATTTCTTGTTAGTAATGTTACTTGGAAACTCTCAGACGCCATACGCAGCTGCGCCAGGCCTTTCAGTTCTAAGTAGAATACCTCTCATTCTTGCCATTAACTAATAAAAAGTAAAGCAAAAAATGAGGAATGGAAAATAAAGTAAAAAAAAAAAGTAGCATACCTAACCAAAAAAAACAGGTAGAAAAACTGGTGCTTTAAAAATTTTCCAAAAAAAGGTCCCCCCTCCCCCCCCTCTCCTCCTCTTCTCCCATCTCAATGAAGACCAAAAACAAGAGAGAAGCTAAAACCAAACTGTCAAAATATCAACCTTTTTCTTTGCCAAGCCTGGAGAGAGCATGTTCGATTGTTTCATTCGGTTTAAGCATTGCAGCGATTCTCTCATAGACGCTTTTCAACTCGCTATCTCCAAAATTTATCGCTGTCGAGCTGTCCTCCTCCTGAAAAAAAGTGTACTGGTAGAAAAACTTCATTTTGTCGCAAAATGGAATTTCAACATTTCCATAGTCTTAAAATTTTCAACAAAAAAGAAATGAAAAATACATCTCCGCTGAACCTATTGGCAAAATTCGGCGTTCAAACTTCCCTGGTTGCTGAGTTGAAATACCCGGATAGACAGACATACGCATACACATAAACAAACATGTACACACCACAGACTGCCAAAACATGTGTTTTAGCATTTGTACAAATATGCAAAAACGCACTGAAAGTCAAAAATTTTGAAAAAAAAAATCCAAGAAATTACATTTTTCTGATGCCACTGTTCGCCAGCATTTGTTTTCACCTTTGTCCAATCGATGTTGTCCAACCAGGCATCCTTGATTTCGTCCTCTTTCTGCAAAAAAAAAAAAAAAATTCGATTTTTTCCTTTCCTGCTCAAACAGTATATATATGCATATTATATCTAAATACATATGTACATTTGCATGTATGCACTTAGGTGAAACCTGCATCTCCCCCGCAGAAGCTGCCCGAACTGCTAATGCCAAGCTTTTGATCTCACCGATGTACAACCGTACGGGGAACTGGGACTGAAACCAAAGAAAAGGCAAGGAAAAAGTAGTCGTACTTTTTTTAACTTCATCAAAAACCTAAACAAGAGTTCAAAAATTGGTCCAGAAGTTGGTCAAAATTTTGGGACAGTGGACGTTCCACATTCTTCCATGCTTCGGACCGCCCACTTTAAAAACTACGGTTCGGCCTACCCAAAAGCTGCAAATTATTTTAACAAACTTATCTCACCCTTCGTTTTAACTTTCTGACTCCGGCTGTTCGAAAATTTCGATTTCTTTAGGTACCACATTTCTTTTAAGATTACGATTTGGCCTTCTAACGACTGTAATTTATTATATCACAAGTAAAAATATGTCTACTTTATTAAATATGAAGTTTCCGGATGTGTCGAAATGTCCCTCTTCCAAATCTTCTTGCATATTAAATGCCATGATTTTTGTGCTGCCTTCAAATTCCTCTTCGGTAGCTTCCTCCTGGCCTTCCACCTGAAAAAGTAGTACTTTTGAAGAAACAGTTCTTCTTCGTTCATTACTTGGAACTGCCACTTATTCCTTTTTTTCAGCACTTTAAAAGCAAAAGATCGAAAATCCAAAAAAGAGAGAAGATCC